TTATCCAAGTTTTTCTTTCTTTTTTTCATAAAGAGGTAAGAGAAATACACCGTGCTTTCTGCCCTCCTTATTGTGTTTTTTGTGAGGCTCAAAGAGGATCACTACTTTATCTGTTTTCTGTCCTCCTGAACTCCTATCACGGGTAAAGTTTTCTATTTTAATGTTTCGTTCATTGCTTTTGCACGACTCTGTCCCACTTGCTATATATGTGATGTGTGACTCCAAACTGACACTTTTCCCATGTGATTTTATTTTGTATTTTCCCCCAAAGTGGACGTGTTGTACTTTATAACCGCGTCCCTCTTCCTCTCAGACCCAGGAAATGACCACTGAATTACTGCATAGTCTGACTAAAAAAGACCTGGGCTCTGTCTCGGTCTGACATAAACACACCGTGATGATCCCCATTGACTTACAATGAGCGCTAAACGCCACGACCTCGGTCGACAGGACATTGGACGCAAAATCTGATCCAGTGTGTTCTGGCCTTTATATGTGGCCTGTACTGGCACTGTTGTGGGAGGGCTGGTGCCAGTCATTTAGCAAAGGGCGTTCTCAAGACATAACAGAGCAACAAAGTCTTGAAGGGCAGAGCAATACCCAGAAAGACACTTGTACCTAAGAGCCAATTTAGAGCTCAATTAAGCTAAATTCATGGTTTTGGACTATGAGAGGAAGAAGAAGTACCCAGAAAGTTTCTATGCATGGACAGGGAGAACATGCAAACACCATGCAGAAAGACTGGACGATGACCCCTAAGATAGCTAGAGTTTAGCTTAACATAAAAACTTTCCTTTACATCAAATATAAACTGGAGTTAGAAATTATATGTTTTAATTTCTTTAAGATATTTTGAACTAAAGAGTAAGTGAAAGTAATTTTCCAAATTTAATCTAAAAGCAAAAAACAAGAATGGGCGAGTGGCTTGATGCCAGTTAATGAGTTTCCTTTGATGGTAAAAATACAACAAAAAAACCCAACTTATTTCCCTCATTATGAACTTTGTTTGTAGGGCTGCAACAACAAACTGAATATGAAAATATTTTAAAAGTTCTGGTTTGATTATCGATTCATTGCATCACCTGCGATGTGGCATAGCTGTTCACCCGCAGAGCTTTGTTATTGCTGGCTGACTGAAATAAAGTAAAAAAAAAAAACAACAACCTGCAGAGCTAGTTAAAGCAAGCTGGAGGCAGAGTGGTATTTTCAAAGGAGATTAAATCAATTCTTCAAATGACAGAAACGGAGCAAACAGCTTGAGCGCTACATTTAAAAGTGTGGATGATGCAGCGCCTGAAGCGGAAATAAAGTCAGCACTAAGGAAGACGGCCAACAGCAGTGGGAGTCACTGAAACATCCTTAGTTTATTTAATTTCAAAGTGAGGAAACGGCAACATTGGTCGTTGCTCTGTCGGTGGAGTCCTGCGTTACACTATGATGCACCACTAATAAGCCTCAATGTTAAATGCCTGATTTAACTAAATAAATGGTCAACCTAAAGGTGTTTATCTAAAGCACAATTATTTATTTTTTACTTTTACTGTAACAGAACACCTTAACAGAAACCCTTTTTTGGGGTGCGTTTTTGCTTTGTCAAAGGTTCTACTCTAATATAAAGACATTCTTGTTTTTTTGTAGTAAAATCCTAATTAGTTGCAGCCCAGTGCGCGTACACACGTTCTGTAGAAAGTATTACATAAAAAAATCAGTGCTGGATTAAAATTGTTCTATTAAGGAGATGAACATTTGATTTAGGAACATTTGAACATTTAGGATGAAAATGTGAAATTGGAATTGCTGTACTGAAAAAGTGAATTTCATTAGAAAAATGTTGATAAAGCTAGATCATCTATACATGTCTAGTTTGAGTCATTACTTTTTTTTGCAGCTAAACTACCAGGGATCAGTGGTTCAAGTTCAGCTCTTTTAAGGATGTTCCAGTAGATCTGCCTGCAACTCTTAATATCTGTGCTACATGTTTTGCACCTGCGTGTTTCAGTGATGGGACCATGCCAGATGAAAGTGGAATCATGCCTGCCTTTGTAAAAATTTGGAAACTAACAATCAAGGACTCGCCTGCAAGCAGCCGCAAAAAATCTGACCTTTTGTAAAAATAACAAAAAAATTACTGGGTTTAACCCTGACTTTCCGGTAGCACAAAACTGGATCCATTCTCAGCCAATCTAGTCACCGTGGTAACGCAGTTTGAACGATAAACCTGCTCCTGGGAAACCTGGGAAAATAACTTAAACAAAGCCACATCAAAATAAAAACTTGCAAATAGCAGTTAAAACAAAATATGTTTATGAAAACCTAAATAGTTAAAAAAAAAAAACTTTTTTTAACACACCAACCTTTTACTATTAATTTTTTTTCTTCTGTATATATATACAGATAATAAAATAAAAATCAGAGCAC